CCTTTGGAATCTTTATGTTCACTTCCACATAATGAGTTAGTTGTGCTTGGGCGAAAAAAGCTAAAGCCAGAAAACGTTCAAGGAAGATTGTCTTAAATGATAGACTTACGTTAAGCACTGACTACAAAATAATAACAAAAAAAGCCATTAATTCAAGTTTTGAGAACGGTGGATTAAAAAAAATCATCATATAAAAGCCTTATTTATCGCATAATAGATGAGGGTAATCAGTTGATCATCACAAACATAAATGGAGATAGAGCCAATTACAAGAAGGTCTGGAAAATCATTGATTATAAATGAGATCTTCAGTTTCATTGTCATATGCATGTTGTGGGATCTACCTTAATCCAAATTTTCAATTACCTAAGAACTTGCTAATCCTGAGATCAAATTAGGTTTTTGTCATTATATGGATAGGTTGAAACGTGACTCACCTCTGTAGGCAAAGTCCAATATACAAATTATCCCATTCAAAAAGAAGAAAGAATTCTTAGAACTGCATCAAGAAAATGATATAGTCGCATCAATTAAAAATTCCTTGGAAAGTCATTAAAAAAATTTACAAAATTTAAAACTAATCATCAACATACGCATTACCTTAAAATTTAATATTATTTTTATTGAATATTATACATTATGATAAAGAAAGACGACTGAGATTAAAAATAAGACAAATTAAGAGTAAATGGATACAACAGAAGATAAGGTGGGGAGAGAAGCAGCTCATTGTGCAGATGATTCTAAAAGAGACTCATTAAGTGATGGAAGTTTAAAATATATTCAATTTAAAATTCTATTGCTAATTCTTGTTGTATCATTACTTAAATAGAGGACAGTATGAGTGGGAGACGAAGACTTGTATTGAACACATTGAAGTTATTTTGGTAGTTAATTTATTGTTTTTGTTATTCACTTTGATCTCTTCACATTAATAATTTGATGTTTTTATACCCGATTTACTTCATGATTTGAAGTTAGAAAGTTCACATCAACTTTATGCAATTTATAACTTATTCCAACTAAAAATTTAAGTACTCAGCATCAATTATTTGTTTTGGGTTTTAAGATGAAGAGTTGTAAAAAAAAAAATGAAACATTGTCATAGAATTGGTTAGGGGCATCTAAAAGACACAAATAAAATTATTTTTATAAACAAACTTCAAGATTTCAACATTTAGGATGTTCATGAAAAAGTTAATTCTACGTGGAATAAAATATTAAACAAGTGGCAAAAGATGTACCTACAGAATCAAAAGGCAAAATTTTTTATAAATTAAAACAGTTTGTGGTGAAATAATTAAATTTTTTTATAAATTAAAACAGTTTGTGGTGAAATAATAATGTGCAAGGAAATATAAAATATAAAAAATTGTGTTAAAAAAATTGATTTAGATGTAAAAAGTTAGAAAAATAGGAAAAAAAAATAAAGTGGCTCATAAGAAGCCTAAGAAAATAATTTGTGACGGTAAGAATTATATTTTGAGTGATCATTATAATAAATTAAATATTAAGTATAAACTGCCATACAAAGAGAAAAGAAAAGTAATGATTTAATTCAAACAAAGTATTAAAGAAGAAAATCAAAAAATAATTTTTCTTAGATAAAAATATTCAACATAGATGGGTAAGTTATTTTGATAAAGTTTTCAATGAATTTTCTGAAAAATAAGATCTATCTTAGTGATCTTAATATTGTTAACAATAATAATTTTTTTTATTTTTATCGTCGATTAGTACTAGGAAGTTGAGAAAGCTTTAAAAGAAAACCAATGGTTGAAAATCAATAGGACCTGATAATATTCCTATTGAAGTGTGTAAATATTTAGAAGATTTGTTAGTTTCTTAGCTTACTACACTCTTTAATATTGTTTGAAAAACTAGATAGATGCCCGAGGAGTGGAGGAAGGGTATTTTGATCCCCATTTTTAAGAATAAAGGGGATGCACAAGAGTGTGTAAATTATAGAAGAATTAAGTTAATGCGTCATACTTTAAAATTATGAGAGGGTTATTGAAAATAGGTTAAGACATGATACAAAGATTTCATATAATCAGCTAGGATTTATGTCAGGAAACACCACTATGGAAACTATAAATTTATTGAGAGATTTGATGGAGAAGTACAGAGAGAGTAAGGAGGTTATGCATATAATTTTTATTGATTTAGAAGAAGCTTACAATAAGGTTTTTATGCATATGATTTTTATTGATTTAGAAGAAGCTTACAATAAGGTTCCACGCGAAGTTCTTTGGAGAGTTCTAGAAAAGAAAATTGTTGAACTTATGTTCAAACAGGAGAATTGACAAAGTATTTTCCTATTTAAGTTGCATTACATCAGGAATCTGCTCTTATGTTCAAACAGGAGAATTGACAAAGTACTTTCCTATTTAAGTTGCATTACATCAGGAATCTGCTTTAAGCCCATATCTTTTTGCTTTAGTTATGGATGCTCTTACTAAACACGTACAGGAGAATGTGCCTTCGTATGAGTTGATCTAATATTGAATACATGGTATGGTAATTTTAGTAGCTCTAATGGCAAATTTGTAGCTATGAGTGATCAAATCAATAAAAGTCGTACAGGAGAATGTGGCTTCGTATGAGTTGATCTAATATTGAATACATGGAATGGTAATTTTAGTAGCTCTAATGGAAAATTTGTAGCTATGAGTGATCAAATCAATAAAAGTTGTGACATTTTAGATATCTTGATTATATTGTTCAAGGTGATGGTGAAATAAATGGGGATGATATCAGTAGAATTCAGGTTAGTTGGTTGAAGTGGAAGATTGCATCAGGCCTATTATGTGATAGAGAAATACCACTTAGACTTAAAGCAAAGTTTTATAAGATGGTGGTGAGACTTACATTGCTTTATGGCGTAGAATATTGGTCTTTAAAAGAGAAGCATAAAACAAATTTAAGGGTTGCTGAGATAAGAATGCTTAGATGGATGAGTGGCTTAACACTTAAATATAAAATGCAAAATGTATATATTTGTGAAAAGGTTAGTGTAGCTCCAGTTGCAGACATAATTGGAGAGAGTTGTCGTAGATGGTTTGGTCACATTAAACATCGCCCATTTAATGATCTAGTTAGGAAAAAGTAGATGTTTACGATTCAACTTAAGTTACGGAAGGCAGAGGTAGACAAAAACAGACTTCGGTATATTACATAAAAAATGATCTTATTCAATTAGAATTAAATGAAAATATGGCACTCACTAGGACATAATGGAGAAAAAAGGATTCATGTAGCTGACCCAACTTAGTGGGATAAAGGCTTGTAGTTGTTGTTTTAATTGTTGTTGCTATTGTTGTTGTTACTTAGTCAGCATGTTGACATGTCGTGTTTTAATGTGTAAATATGATAGGGTATTAAATACTAATTTTTAATGTGTAAATATGTTAAGCATACTAATTATTAATTTTTCCTTTCTAATTTTTTTTTCATGCATAGAGCTTTTATAACACCTTTTTATTTTTATATAATTTTTTAAGTTAAGGACTTACTCAAAAAATTTTGAAGTTTACACCTCGCCTCCGAATAAAAAACACTAAGTCCTAAGTGCATAACTTTAAACCTTAAATGTAAGCTTATTTTCAAATGAAGATTTCTTCTCCGAGCACATATTTATATTTAACTTTTAACTTTCTATTTTTTCACATTATTTAATATGTTCTTAACACACTTACATGATATTTTGATGCAGTACCTTCTTATATCCCTATTTCAAAAAATAAATTTGATAGTGCATCTTTATGGTGTATAATTGCAAGAAATCTTAGTAGTGACTTATCCATTATAGTTTGCTTGTTTAATTGGCATCGTAATTAGACACTGATACAAATTTAACAAATTGCTTATTCAATTTGACTCGCATATTTTTTTCCCATTAAAGAGAACTTACTTGTAAAATTACTTACTAATAAAAGAAACCAAAAATTCATTGGATTTTTTCGCTTATTATTAGCTACTTCAGGTACTCATTTAATTAATATAAGAATGTTAAGTGCAAGCCAACCTCAATTATAGAAAAGCTTAACAAGTAACATATGATCGTGAAAGATTGGCATGCACTCAATTCAAAAATAAAAAAACTTAAAAGTAGGGCCAAGCAGGTTCAAATCCATGGTGTGCTCAGCTCAGCTCAAATAAAACGTGTAAAGAGAGATAGCTAGAAGTACATGAGGGAAACAGAAATGGACCGTTATAGCACCAACAAGTCAAAAGTACTGTTACAGGTAGCCCAAAAGAAAAGTGCAGGCAAAGTCAGACAATTAAAGGAGTGAGGCGTATGTCAACCAGGTATAAGGACTGAGGTAACGGGTCAAACCCAACAAAAACCATTGAAATTCTTCATATCAACAGGTCCCACAAGATCAACTTGCGTTCATGCTAGGTTACTGGCTCTAATTATAGAGCTGGCCTGGAGCTTAAGGCCACAAAATTTTAGACATTGTCATGTTCAAGAGCATGGAAATGAAAGAAAGTTTAAGATGAACATAACTAGTTAATAAGTCATTAAAGAATAAGAGTCCATTTGGGGCAGCTTAGAAGTGCGGCGGCGTTTTTTAAAGCGTCACCTAACCGTTTGGTTTGCGAGTTTTTGAAAACGCTGTCTGCCGCGTTCCGCGTTTGGGTTTTTTGGGTTTTTTACACTAAACGCAGAATGCGGGTCGACCCCCGCAGACGACCTGCAGGCCTCATTTCAAGATAAGCTATTTATCCTGAAACACACAAGCTGCCCTAAACAGACCCTAAATGTTTCATTGATTTTAGAAATAGTTAGCCAACATAAGGGGTGAAGTCTGCAACAAGGAGACAAACACTTAAAGCATTATGTGAAGGAAATTAATGAGATCAATGGAAACTACATATCTTATTGAAAACCTAACAATAAATTATGCTTATTGAAGAAAATTATGCACTGATGAGGTAACAGATTAGCACAAGAAGGGAACGATTTATAAGAAGGAAGAACGAGCAGGACATACTTATCGAGAAGCCAATAACACCTGCGGTAAAAGTTTGGATCATCCTCCCCTCGTGCATAGTAAACATGGATTCTTTCTTCGTTACCAATCTGCAAGCAAAATTTAAAGAGAAAGACCAGATAAGGATGAAAATAAGCAGTTACTTGAAAACACTCCAAAAATTCTGAGGTTAAAAGAAAAGTACGAAATAAGCATAATCAATGTAAAACTGGGCTATCAATCGAGTGTGATAGAGCAGTATAGATGCTAATGGATATGTATTAGCATAAAAAGAAATGTATAGAAGAAAAAAAGTTAATAATGTGGAACACCTTATAATCAAAAATTATTAACAAATTCACATTTCATCAAAAGTTTAATTTGATAGTTCAGTATTAATGTAAGGAAAAAAAAGGAATATCCAAATTTAAAATATAGGAATTTTAACCATACAAAAGAGAAACTTCATACAGCAAAAATTGGTAAGAATATTAAGAATATAAATGGAGACAAAGCAGTCTGTTTTGCAGGAAAAAACAATGAAATGTAAATATCCTCCATATAAAGAAACCTATTAAACATTAAAAGCTGCCAGTGTAAAATTAAAGTTGAGCCTCCTAGGATCCACAAGTAATGGTATGCTTATTAGTTTATGCCCTGAGTAATGGTATGCTTAGAGATAGTATGAGTCATAAATTAGGAACCATAGTTTCTATATATGTGAAAATCCTACGGACCTACATTCAATCCTGAAGACCTCCTGTTGACAGCATAAAGTTGTATTTTGTAATGCAGCAACTGTACCTGCATTTAATCCCACATGCTGCGCCTACACCTGTTGTTCCTACTGTCCACTTACCATCAAGCCACCAAGGAAGAGCCTTTCTTTTAGAGGCCACCACTGCACAGACCTCTAGAAATTATGCTATAGTTGCAAACAATAAGCAGCAGGTTTCCTAACATAAAACCAATCACTTACCATCAAGCCACCAAGGAAGAGCCTTCCTTTTAGAGGCCACCACTGCACAGACCTCCAGAAATTATGCTATAGTTGCTAACAATAAGCAGCAGGTTTCCTAACATAAAACCAATTTGAAAGATTGCATTCATTATATACTTTATTTTATTTCTTTTTGTATAATTTCTTTCCTATTTTTCCCGGGCCAATTACAGATCATTTTAGCTTAGTTTATTTCAAAATCTAGGCCCATCAACCAGGCCATGTTTTTCCTAAAAAATTGTACCTCTTCTACCTATGTAAACAAAAAGAATGTAGTATTCTTCTCTCATATTTTTTTCAGTATGGTGTCAAAGCCAAAGCCAGTTTTCACAATCTTTAACCTCCTCTATTTTATATCTTCCATAGTTCTCCATCTTCAACATCCTCTCAGAATTCTAAGCCTTCCTCATCCTTCTCCTAAGGATTGTTTTGTTTAAAACATGAAGATGATTAAACATGAAATAGCCTTGGAGCAAGATTGCCTTTGGTGCCACCTCCTGCCATGAATCAAGATCCCATAACAACTCAGGTATCAACCTTTTCCAAGTCATTGATTATCCAGCACAAACCGAAATCTTCTACATCGCCAATTCCTTTAAAAAGGTATGATTTTGAAAGGCTTAAATGTCCAAAATGAAAAACTCACAATATTAGATTGTAGACTCTAAAAATGATGATCATATGACAGAAGAAGCCTCTTTATTTCAACATCACAAAAATTTGGCATTAAGACTATCAGTATCATTCTCTCTCCTGATCCTTAACTCAATTTTCTTGGTTTCAAAAATTTCCTATAACTTTTTTATTAATGATCAAAATTACCCAAAAAATAAATTTTCCCCTTGCTCATTGTGAATTCTATGATATGGAATCAAGAACCATAATTGACATGGAAAAGAAAAAAAAAGGCGTCTGCCTTCAAAAAAATAAAAGGAATGCTAAATGCAAGAGAAAAGTGCACAATGTATCTTCTTTAAAGGAAAAGCATAATCAAATTGTGGAAATTTTTGCATAGTTCGTCCAAATTTCCTGTAGATATGGAAATTGTTCCCCTCCCTTTTCATCGAAAATATAAATTCTAACATGCTTCAATGAAGCTTACCACTTATCTAAACGCACTCGAACATCCTATCCTAGTCATCCTTATAGTCTCCCAGCTCAAGTAAACATTATCCAGAGTGCAAATAGTTTATATCCTTCTTGACCGTAGAAATACTTAGATCTTTAAAGCAAAAAAAATATGTCTAAAATCAATTCCATTTTCCAAGAATTTAGCACCATAACCACCAAATTCAAAACACAAATTCAAGTCCTCAGGACGGATAATGGAAGAGAATTGTATTCCATGTTTGGAAAATATTTTCACCAACAAAAATTATGTACCAATGTTGCATTCATGATCCTTAACAAAATGGTTTAGAAAAAAACAAAAATATGCATCTTCTTGAGGTGTTACTCGATCAATTATGATCACTAGCAATGTCTCAAAACATTATTAAGAGTAAGTTGTCAATACTCCTGCAAATCATATTAAAGTATTTCATCAAAATTTCTAAAATTCAAAGCTACTGCAAAACTCTTAACCATGCTTACTCTAAAAATAGACTTATCTCCACCATTTCTATTAAAGTATTTGGTAGTTGTGTCTTAACGCACATTTATACTTATTAAAGAAGCAGACAAAAAACAAAAGGCATAAAATCTAGTTGTGTCTTAAATGTATATTTATATATATTAAAGAAGCAGACAAAACAAAATAAGTATAAAATATATTTTTATCGATTACACTGCTCACCAATAGGAATATATAAGTTCTATTAGTATAAAAAATACTATGCCAACATGGACATATCCTTCTTAAAAAAATTAATTCTTCAGCAAAAAACTCACAATTAGGGGGAGAATATCAACTATCACAGTGAATATGAGTTTTGTGAGGATGTCAATTATACTTTATTGATATCTCATACAACAACTATTCTGAATCTAGTTGAATCTCACCAATTTAGTTATTAACCTTTACAATTGCGTAAACAAATAAGATAAAGGAATTAACAAGCTAAGACGACAAGACAACTTAACTGATATGATAGAACAAAGCATTTATCTTGAACTAACCCAATGTCTGACACAAATCCTGTTATTAATTCTAAGAATAAGTTAATTTTGATTCTAATGATATTAAAATATGTATATTTTTGCTCTCAGAAAAGAAGAAGAAATTGCATTGGTCATTCAAAAAATTATCATATTTCCCTTGACTTTTGTACTTTTACTAAAAGTATTTTAAACATAGAAATTCCAACAATATAAAAGAAGAATTAAAAGAACTAGAATAAGAAATTGATGTTCACGAATGATATTGGAGTTAAACCAAACAAAACAGAAACAAGCAAATATTGTTATTGAAAGCAAATAGGCGGTTACAATCAAACACGATTGAAAGGGAAATTATAACAAACATGACACAAAATCACACTAGGGCTCGATCCATGGGTGGTAGAGGTTGGCCGGTTGGTTGGGGAATGAAGGTAGGTGGCTCAAATGGGTTGAAGATGGTTAGGACAGCAAAAGGAGGGGGTGGAATTATGTTGGCAAGTAAACAAAGCGTTGGAACAGCGAGGGTAGCAAGTTAGGTGGGAAGCGGAGTGGCAAGGCACGATAGGAAAGGTTGGAGTAGCTAGGGGACAGCAGAAAAATTTGCAGGTTCGCCCTTTCTGTATGATGGTAGTGCATTGGCAAAGCGGAGGGCTGCGGGACAGCAAGGGGTTGTTGGCCCGAGCGGTGATAGTGAGCAATGATTGAAATGAGAAGACTGCAGTGAAAACAGAAAACAAGTGCAGTTCGGGGCACCTGCAACGAAGGAGGATGATCGGGAGCATTGTAAAGAAGATTTGGAAGGGCATAGGGAAAAAAATCACCACCTCGGAAGACAAATAGAAACGGAGCACAACCCAATCCATTGGATACAGCCTTTGAGGGAGAAGAATCGACTCAGGTGGCGGTCCTAAACAAAACACACAAAAAAAACTGAAAACATCAACACATAAATCAAATATATAAGCCCTAAGTAATTAAAGATTTGGCACACTGTTGAAAGGGGCGCCATATCCAAGTACGGAAGGTCAATTGGCCCTCAATTCAATGTTATGAACCGGTACTAAGTCATTTAGAGATTTTCGTATCCAGTCCATTTCATGGATTGGTCACAAGATTGTAGCCTATGTCGCGGAATTGGAAACAGGGACGCTCCTGCTTCATTCTCCAGAGAGTGGGGCAGCTTCAACCTCATCTGTTGAAGCTTATGTTTACCTGCAGTGGTCAGGTCCCTTTTGATGGTAGAGAAAATGTTGAAAGCTCCTATTAGTTCAATCCTGCAAGCATTGTCATTTCATACAACATCTTGATATACTAAGTATACATACACTGTTAGTACAACTTGAGTTGGAGCTGCATATCAACGTTGATTCTCACGAGCAAACTCCCAAGCAAGTTTATAATCTACTTCTCTCATTTTTTATGCTCGGTTAGATATATCTGATAAACAAGTATATGAAAAGAAAATCAACTCAGTTAAAATCTATGGTAGGCAACGTCACTTTCACTCGACATCACTCAAGAGAGACATCTTCTCTGGTAGGATCTGGATCCCATTGAAAAATTTTATTCCCCACCAGCTCCTAAAACAATTTTTAAATATGTAGCTCATCCCTCCTGCCAGATCATTTTTTGGGATACACTGCTGAAAAAATTTTAACATCCAACTAACTCCCTATTAGCTTTCAGAAATGGCACAAAGAATCTCACCTCGGACATAGTGGACCTCCCTTAGTAGGGGCAACCCAGGAAGTAGCCTATATATCTAAAAAGTCTAAATTTTGCTTATATGGAGTTACCATGTGTGTGATATCAGCTCCTCAAACTTGGTTCCTTTATGACAACCAATATCAGTCTAGTTGATGCTCCTCCAACGCCTACAAAAGGGTGGTTCGTGGCATCACAATATCATACTCTACTTGAAAACCCATCACCTCGGAATCGCTATCTTCTAAAGTAGCCTCAGCTAATCCAGTTGGATTCTTTCTTGTGGGATCATCTAGAATAATAATAATTTCTATGTCGTCGGCAAACAGTTGATAATCATATATGAAATCATCTTCTCTTGGATCGCTATTTAATTTTTCACATGCTTCATAATCCGTGAAAGAGATCATTCCCCTGATTATGCAAAGTGATTCGGTGTGGCCAAATCGATGACACTTAATACAATTTCTGGTTGGGACAGATTTAAGAATGTTGATTAACTCCACATTTCTCTACTCTAAATAAGTTTCTCCTCGGCGAGGTTGCCAGCTTGAATATTCTCATGGGTGCACTCTGGACATACGATCCTGAGGTTGATCCATGTTTGTAAGATGTGGTGGTCGTCTAGTGATGTGGTTTCTTAATTTTTGTAGAAGAGGTCTGAACATATGATCTATAGTAAACAGGGAAATACTAGCACTACGTCTCCCGTTTCATCTTAGATCAATTAGTGATCTTATATTTTTTCTCACGCTGACATAGATACTTCAAATTTTGTCACCAAACTAATGCACTTTTCTTTAATTTGTTGATGGCTAGTTCCACAATTTTGTTTTGTGACACGTCCTAGTATTCAAGGAAAAGTTCCAGGGTTTGAAACCACTCGATAAATTTGTCCAAAACAAATCCAACGTTACCTCAAAATCTGGACTTCTCAAATATGTCAGGTCTTTTCTTCAGGGTAGAGAGTTTTCATTTCTGAAACCTCTAATAGATAATTCACCTTTGTCTCATCTAACATGCACTCCATCTCTATATACTCTAACAAGCGCTTCATCTCTGTAATCAAATGGCGTTCATGTGACCCCTCTGGATTGTCTCCTTTCCTCAATTTTATCAAGCCATTGCAACACTCGACGGAGATGTCACTGTATCTCTTCCATGGTAAACTGATTAGCGTCTATCACTTGTCTCAGCGGTGGCTTAGTTAGGGTTCAGGCATGTGGAAGAGGGTATATAGGGATGATGTAGAGTGAAAGGATTGTTTGAGTAGAAAATTATGGGAACATTTTTTTTGGGGGTTTGGGGGGTGGGGACAGGTTTGTGTATGGCGGATGCAAGAAACCCTAGGATAGGATTAGGGTTACACTAGCTCTGATACAAATGATACCAGAGTTATTCATATAATGATACAAAATAAAAATTAATTCATAACCAAGAGTGTTCTCGACAAGCCTCAAAATCCTATATACCACCTCCAAATGTTCTTCATCTGGGTTATCGATATATTGGCTCACATTGCTGACAAAATATGCAATATATGTCATAGTATCTGATAGGTGGATGAGTTTTTCAAACAATCATCAATAGCCCCCCTTATCCAAAGATATGCTTTCTTCTACCATGTTAGACTTCTTGTTGAAATCCGTTGGAGTATCAGCAGGTTTGCGTCCAATCATTACTATCTTCTTTAGTAGATCTAGAATATATTTCTTTTGTGATATAATGATGTCTTTTTGGGGCCTTGCTACCTCCATACCTAAAAAATATCTCATGATTCTAAGGTCTTTGTTATCAACAACATAAGAGGAAGGGGATAACTCATGAGTACTATACTCCTCACCCAAAATTTTAGGTAAATGTGGACTCGAGTTTTGGTTGGAACAGTTATGTATTTGCAACTTGTCTTCCACCGATCAAGGTTTTTCTTCCTCCGTGTACACACAAAGGTACACGCAAAGTTCTTTGTTATAAGCTTCTTTTTTGGACCTTGCTACCTCCATACATAAAAAATATCTCATGGTTCTAAGGTCCTTGATTTCAAACTCTGTGGCAAGAACTTCTGTCAATGAGCTCCCCAGCCGACCTATAATCAGTGTACACTTCTACGTCAATGTTTCTGGTTTTCTTAAAAATTAATCCATAACCAGAAGACTTCTTGGCAAATCCAAAATCTTGTACATCATCTCTAAATGCTCGTCATCTAGATTATACATGTGTTGGCTCACAATGCTGACAGAATATGCAATGCAATGTATGTCATAATATGTGATAAGTAAATGAGTTTTTCTATCAATCTTTAATATCTTCTCTTATCCACAGATATACTTTCTTCTCTCATGTTAGAATTCTTGTTGAAATTCATTGGCGTATCAGCACTTTTGCATCCAATCAATCATCTCACCTTTAGTAGATCGAGAATGTATTTTTTTTTTTTTGTGATATAATGATGTCTTCCTTAAACCTTACCATCTTCATACCTAAAAAAGATCTCATGATTCTAAGATCCTTGATTTCAAACTCAATCGCAAATACTTATTTGATCTTGAGAATTTTTCATTTTATCATCACCAGTAAAAATCATATCATTCACATATACTATTAACACAGCAATATTACATGTGAGTGTGTTATTAACAGAGTATGATCAGCTTAACGTTGAGAATATTCATTAGATCTCATAGTTTTAGCAAACCTTTTAAATCACGCAATTTCATACATAAGAATCTTACATATCTAACTTTAACTAGTATTTTGTAAGTGTGTTTAAGTATTGAGTCGCACTAAACTCTTCTTGTCGGAGCTCAAGCAGTTTTGTATCAATCTCAAATAATTTTGCAATGTTGTCTTATAAAGCAATAAATTTTCTCCAACCTCTATGATCAAAGAATTGATCAACCAAGACATGATCACATGATTCTAGATGTTCCATGAGCGATGGTTCAGATCAATGAGCTAAAGAACTGAGCCCTCTCCCGTGAGAAGTTATGGCTATTCAACTTCATGTCGTACTTTGCCACAAGCCCTACGCACATTTAGGGTTGGGAAGAATCCCTAGCTGCTGCTTGCTCATTTTTTCTAGCTGCAGGATCCCTGGCTGATTCTTGCCACAGACAAGGAGGAATCCCACAGTTTTGTTGGTTGTTGTTTGCTGAGGAGAGGAAAGTTAAGAGGGTTAGGAATGTTTGTTGATTGTTCCTGCGGCTGCTCTGCTTGCCTGAGAAGTAGTTCTACTATGGGAAGAAGCTGCAAAACTGCGAAGGGTCTGCAGCCTACGGGAAAGAGGTAGTTCTGTTGTAGTGGATTGAGGATATCTACTATGGGACGGAGCAGCTCTGCTACCTGTGGCTGCTTGTCAGGAAAGCAGAAGAGTGGTTGTTTAGGGCTGCAGACTATCAGCAACATAGAGAGACTCCAGTAGAGGACCTGCAAGAAGGCAAGTGGCTACACGAAGGATTCCGTCACTGGACGGTGGCTGGAGAGGCTCTGAGGCTGAAATTAGATCTAGGATTTGTTTCCTAACTCTGATACTAAGTTGAAATAAATTTGGAGATGAAAAATTACTCGATTTCATTATTCTCATATAGGATACATATACAGGGGAACCAATACCTCCAAATTTACAAACTTACCAAATATACGATACATATATAGGATACCAAATATACTCGATTTCATTATTCTCATATAGGATGCACATATAGGGAAACCAATACTTTCAAATTTACAAACTTACCAAATATATCTAATTTAAATTTGGAAAGGAAATAATTCTGAATTAAAAATAACAAAAATATAAATAGAAAGAGAATAAAATTAAATAAGATGTTTCCAAAGTTGTCTTCCAATTTAATCTTCTAATATATGTAGGTGGCAAGCGGACCAACCAAAGAAAGCAGACGGTTACAGCCTGTTTCTTCCTGATTTTCGACAAGTAATTATACAAATGATTTATACTACAAAAAAGCTTCAGACTGCTCACAACCAATCTGAAGTTCTTAATCAATCTCAACTTAACAGCCTCTCAACCAAGCTAGAAAAGATCAACATATATTTTCAACCAGAGGGGGATAGTGAATATCACATATAAAACTTCCTGCTGCTAGCTTGCATTCATTAAAGCACAGTTGTTCTTGCATTCAATCACAAAGACATCCTGCTGCCAGCTTGCAGTTACAATGTAGCAGCTGTCCGCTAGGGCTGTCAAAAAACCTTGTTGTTCACGAACAGCTCGTGTTCGGCTCGTTAAGTAACTTGTGTTTGGCTCGTTCATGAACATTTTTTTTAAGCTCGAATTATACACAAGCCGAACACAAATAGCTTTTTATTCGCTTTTGTTCATCTCGTTTTAGCTCGAAATAAAAAAAAAATATAATTATTTATATAATAATATATTATGTATATTATTTATAAAATAATATATTATATATATTTATATCTAAGTTTAATGTGCATTCTTTTGGATATAATTAGTTCAGGCTCGAATCCAACACTCTACATCTAATTTTTTCAATTAATTTTAACAAGCCAATTTCAAGCTGACACAAACAAGAATACTTAAATCGAGCCGAACACGAACACACCGTTCACATGCAATTTCGAACTTGAGCAATTTCGAACTTGAGCAATTTCGAACAAACTGAACACGAGTCAAGCCTAAGCTCACTCAAGCTCGGCTATTTTATAGCCCATGTTCTTGCATTCAATCCTGCACCATAAATGTTGCTAACTTGCCCAGCTTAGCACCGCACCTGTGCCAATTCTTCCCTACTGTCCTCTGTTCAGCTCTTGATTTATTTCTGTATCTAGGCCCACCGATAAGGCTACGTTTCTCCTAAATTACTTCTTCAATCAATATCAATAAAAAATAATGTAGTATTCTTCCCTAAATTTTTTATCAAAAAATATCTACGGAACTAAGGTTAGATAACTTAATTTTAAATATATTTTTGTTTATAAGCAAAATATTTTCTCCTTATGGTGGACCATAAACCTGTATAGTAAACATGCAAGGTTTTTTAAAGACAGCCTGTTACTATTATTATATCTTACGGTATTTGTATGCTGAGCACAGAGCTAAGACTTTGTATGATGCTACGTATATGGAAGAAGCATTAAAGGGTGCGATACTATGAACTTGGAATGTACAAATTGGAACATACTTTCAATTTCTCATGAGCCTCCTGAACAGTCTTCCCATCCTTTTTCTTCTTCCAGTTATATCCATCTTTCCGAAAATTCCTTAGCATTTTGCGATCAAAAAGCACAATACTGCCATCTAACTCACAAAGAAAAACATAAAAGTAGTTTCACGAAGTGGTTAATACAAAACAAAAAAAATCATACAAAATTACAAATAAAAAACATTAGAAAAGGTTAATTTACATATACAGCACTACATTTACAAAACTAGCAACAATATCAGATACAATATTCAAACCTGCCAAACAAAGCCATAATATGAATGCAAAAAAAGGATTACTCTGCAAGTACATAATATTCTTCAAATGAATAAATCATGTAACACAAATCAAGATAATTATTCTTTTTTCTAGTAGTGCAATGTGTTAAATGCTTCACAATTACTATTTGGTGTGGGCAAAGCACAAAATAAAGCTGTATCCATTGTATGCACCCCCTGCATAACTTCACAATAATGAGGCCCCCGTAGTGTAACTTACCCATCTTTGAGAGGGTCAGTGGGGACCTTTTTCATATAACAAAATTTGGTAAACCAACATCAAACAAAGTCTTAAGTTCCATCTAGGGAGGTTGCAATTTTTCATAAATTTGTTTGTAATGCTATTTTGTAATAAATCAACTTCTTAAAGTTAATTTGAGCATTATATTTTTTTTCTTTTTGAAAACTGTCATAGCATTCTTTCATAAAGCTACCATATTCTAGCAAATCTGGTACTCAAAAGCAACTTTCATCATAAAAATTTCTAAAAATAACAAGAATAAAGCAAACAAATGAATGTGGCTGCAGTAAGAATAGCACCTAGTTGTCAACTTTTTAAAACTTACGTAGTTAGATTTCAGCAGTCAATAAAAGTTTTGATGATGCACATGCAACAAATAAGTAACAGTGCTCTTGCATGCAATATATGGTCAGGCTCAATGGGCCTAGATAACCTATTTTTTACCAAAATACACCAGCTGGGTTGACCTGCTGAGTTCCAGTTGTCGGGTTGATTAACCTGGTTGACTTGTCAAACTAATCGGCCGAGTACCAAAAGCAAAGTATTGGCTATTAATGGAGAGAGAATATATTTCTAGGCTTAATTATGGGTCACTCGTTCTCTACATCACATCAATCTGACATATTTTCTCTTTGCAGTCCAACAAGGAAGAGAAATCATCTCGAGCCCTATAAATAAAATTGATCTTCCACTCTTAAGAGGATTCTAACCAGGACTCTCACTCTTACTCCCTTTCTCTATTCTCTATCAAAAGAGTGTACTTCATACCCTTCTACTTCCTCTATAGGTCTCACCTCCATTGTAGGAGCCCACGGATAATTCAGAATTCAACATCCTAAAAAATGTGATGAATGTAGAGATCATACTCAAATCCAGATAAAAAAACATTGTGCAAAGGAAAAGCCGAAGTAGCATGGCACTTGAGAGTTTGTAAAGTAAAAAATCAATGAACTAAAAGAACAAATTGATGCAATGATATGAGAAACACGAGGAAGCACCAACAAGACCAACTCTTTAACTCACCCAGAATCTTTGGGGTCTGTAGGTCACAGACGTGAACTACCGAGGATGAAGATGAGGACGAGAGCCCTCTCACTAATACCGGCGGAAGGAACTGACAAAACCAATGTCCCGAAGGATAAAGGATATGTCCCTTCATATAGTGAAGTCGAGAGGATAATGGAAAAAATAAAAGAAAAAAATCACTGAAAATTGCATTTTCAAGTATTATTACCGAAAAAGTTTTAGATCTCATAACCTTACGAGGAAAAAATAGACATGGCAGACCACGTAGCCTCATTTGAGTCAGTCGCATGCTTGCTACGTGTAGGCGACACTCAAAAGTGTTTATTATTTATCATGATGTTGAAAGAGACGGCCCTCCACTGATTCAACAACTTACCCATAAGAGTTGCCACATCCTTAGAAGTCAATAGAAGAATTCTCAGGCTCTTTTAAAAATCCGCCAAGAGACCTCAAAAAATTTGAGCTTCATCATCATGTTCAAGTGGGAGACACTGGATATAAGAGACATTAAGCTAAAAGTTACTCATGCAGCACTAGCTCAAAACTTGAGAGAAGTTTCGTTCAGATATACCCTTGGTTTACAACGACAAAAAATTTTGGTTGAACTGTTGGAGCTAACCAATAATCACATATCTAATGAAAAATACAATTCCTTGTCGAGTTCTTCAAAAAACTCGTGAGCAAAAGAATCAATATAAGAGGCATCACAAAAAAAAAATTGGACAGTGACAAGCAACCAATTTGCCCATAGAAGTTTGTGAAATGCACATGGTGAGCGAATTCCCAGGAAAAAAAATATTACAACTATAGATTAATTAAGAGGAGGCCAAAGAGAAGGCCAGAACCCCCTCAGCACTCTACCCAGCAATAACTCTACTGAGAGTATCCATGGTTAAAATTATTGAAGTCATTCAAAATAAAGAATTCTTTAAGAAGCCCACGATGTGTGGACAGATCACTTACGTGACCTAAAGAAAGTTTATACCATAAGAACCATGAGCACAATGATCAAAATGTGCAATGACTCACTCGATATCACGTAAATATACGTGTCGATCAAGTAGTATATCAATTATGAGTTTGTGTATTGATCCCCAAAAAACAAGTCAATTTTCAAACAGTCTAATTACTATTTTACTAATTCTACATTTATTTTAAAATGATTTGGTATTTTGAAAATGATTCTAAAAATACTAGAATATAAAAGTTACCACTAAATGTTTTTAGTTTTGCAAAAACTTAAGAAAAATGCTTCTTAGAAATGGATTATGTGAATTATCTATGTTCTTTAAAAAAATTTCCCCCGCTTAATATTGACGAATAAAGGCAATTACTCATTACTCTATTCTTAGATATAATGATGATTGAAGGCTCATATTATGGTTAAATCACCTTATCTTGCAAAGTATCCTAGGACTTACTCATTACTCTATTCTTAGATATAATGATAATTGAAGGCTCATATTATGGTTAAATCACCTTATCTTGCAAAATATCCTAGGACTTTGCATTCCCCTATGTGATTGCAATCTCCTAAAGGCAATATTCATATTTCACCAAGTGGCCGAGTGTTAGCACACTTATTCTCCAAGCCTACAACCAATAGACCAATCTCACAAGTGCTTTTAACTTTTTTAGTTGTCAACAAGGAATTAAATGAGATTTGAAAAGTTAACACACCAATATGAATCGAAATAGTCTAAGGAACTTTCTTAGAATGAACATGAATCTTCACACTACCAAACTAAAGAAGGCAAAAATTCCTAGTTCCTAAACATTCTTAAGAAAAATATGTAAGAAATCATTGATAGAAACACAAAGTTGCAAAGAAAAAGAAAAGAACAACCTGGGATGAACTCTTCTCTCTCCAAGCCTTCTCTCCTTCTCTTTGATTTCTCTGAAATCTCTCCACACAAAATACAAACACTCACCCACACATTGTTGTCCCAGGTGGTCGGCCTCCTAAACGCTTCTGAAAGTGTCAAGAAACATGAAGTCCCTTCCAAAATGAAATTTTCTCCTTTTATGGTTGAAGCGTCAGTGAAAAACCTGAAACCACCTTAAGTTTGTGGGAGGCGCAACGCCACTGGCAAGGTGGAGTTGGGGCGTTGACAACAGGCATGGTAGTGTTAGCTCGAGCACTGCATTTCATGGCTCTAAATCATAAAATTAGGGCTTGTGCCATGGCAGGACAAGGTCCCAGTGGCTTGGTGGTGCTTATGTTGGGCACTAGGCTGCTTGGACCCTGACATTGCGTTGTCAAACGCTTTGTATTTTAGACAGTATTTGGTTGCTTCTTATCGCTGGGGCACTCTCCATATATGGTGAGGTGGCGCTATATACTAGTGTCTGGGGCACTTCCTTCAGGTGTTGGGATGTATTCTCTGGATTTTGCATGTGCATCAGGTGTTGAGGAACTCGTCATTCATACGGGGTAACTAGGTCCTTAGCTCTATTTCCTCCAAATGTTCTTTTTTTTTTCCTTATATATTGGACATACACATCAAATATACCCACAAAGAACATAAAAATGATACAAATAATGCAATAATCATACTACATATCAGTGTACATTTTATACACATCATACAGCAAAAGAGTGCAGACACATTAGAAGTTTGATTGAAGAACTGATCAGATAGTAAGGAGTCTGAGGAAAAAGCGGTATAGGAAGAGAAACACTTACACTTGGATGTAGTGAAGGTGTACCTCAACCCACTGTTGGGATTTACTCCAAATCACACAAGGAAGGTGAAGTGATGAATCGGGGAGCAGCCATAGTGGTGTTGGTGGATAGGGGGGCCACTATCTCAAATCAGGCCATGGTCCGGCTGGGGTTGAAGCTAGTAGATACGGAAAGCTTCAAGGTTATAGTGGGAACATGAAAGATAAGTGGATTAGTGATAACACTATAGAGCCTATACGTAGTTGATGACTTCCTTCCCTTAAACATGTGAAGCACTTCTGTGATTCTGAGGATGAAATAGCTACAGGCAATTAGGGAGACAAAGGTGAATTAGAAATCTCTGACTATGAAAATTGGGAGAAAGAAGTTGTTGAGAGGGGATAGTAGCCTATACAAAACCTGAGCTCACTCAAAACCATGGTCAAGACGATATATAGAGTTACAAAGCATACAAGAGATCCGAGCGCCAGAGTCTGTAAAATTCCTTGAGAGTGTTCAACAACTTTTGCAGCAATTTTTTGACATCTTTCAACAGTCGAACGGATTACCTCCACCTAGGAAGCACCTGCATGCCATCACATTGAAGAAAGAAATTTCTCCTATCAATGTTAAACCATACTGGTATCCTCAGTTTAAGAAAGATGAGATCGAGAAGTTGATTCGCGAGATGCTTGAAACAGAGGGATTAGTCAGGATAGTGTGAGCCTCTTTTCCAGTTCAGTTCTCTTGGTGAAGAAAAAAGATAATTGAAGATTTTGTGTGGACTGCAAGGCCTTGAACAAGGAAAACGTACTAGACAAGTTTCCAATCTCGTAATTGATGAGTTATTAGAAGAACTTTATGGAGCGGTCATTTTCTCAAAAA